TAGCAATTACCGACACTATGGCTGGATTCTCCTTATCACAAACATGACTGATCTATGCGTAAAAAAATTAATGATATTGAACGTGTATTAGCTGCATTCCGTCTACTGTCAGGAACGTCTCAATGGCCTTATTCAATTTACTGTTTGTATAAATATAAATCATCTGAATATTAAGTTATTTTACATTTCGCATTCTCTGCCTTCAAATTGTTACCATTGATAATTTGTTCCAGCTACGGGTAATAATTTGGAAGTAAATATTACGAGATTGTTTACAACAATGAACATTACATTTAAAGCTGCTATGAGCCTCTTAATGTGTGTCACCATTGAAATGTTATTATAACTTTTTAAAGTTTGTTTGCGCAATTAGTATACCAGATCGCGAAGAACAATATATTTTATATTGTCTGTTATGAATCTGTTTCTTAGAGTTCAGTATAAGTACAGAGACCCACTACTGCTCATTTTTAATAACTGTTCAGGAGGAAACATAATTGAACAAAAGAAGCAAAAAACGAAAAACAGGTAAATTTCTTAAACATTTTTGATAGACAAGAAATTTTCACCTAAATCCCTCTTTCCTGGAAGAAACGAAGATAGCACTCGATTAAGAATCTTACATGAGTGGATTTCGACTGATAAGATATGGTTAACAGTTCAGAACGTCCACTGATGAAAATATCGTTCACTGTTTATTTAATCTTGATCGATATCCACCCTCACCTAAACCGACATTCGCACCGGCGTCTTTGAACATCAACTGTCATTGCTCTCAAATGTTGTTGCGCCCAAGAGTTGGTTCACCCATATAGTAGCAATATACATTTTGTAACAACTTATTTAAAAGGAACGCTTAGGTTTAACTAATAATCTTTACTATTATTTTATGTTTTATTGTACTACTGTTTTTCCTTTTCTCTTTTTTATTTATTTCTATTTTCTCTATTTTCGTTTTTCTAGTGAGAGCTATAATGTATTTCTATATGATTGAACTCACTTACAATAAATAAACAGAACACAAAAACATACCATAAAGATTACTACTGATAACATCGAGTCGATTGCACAACTTCAACTAGGCATGCACCGAGACGAGAAGTCTCGAGTCTCGAAACGTTTCGATACCCGAAACTTTAGTCTCGAATAGTCTCGATATGGCTGAAATTTTTTTTTTAGCTACTCTTATTATTTGTATAGATCTTCTCATTAGCTGAGAAAATCGAGCAACCTGTTTTGTGTTGCAGAAATTCGTCTTTCGTCTTTTTGAACGACTGATGAAACTAGTTCAGTTCAAAAAAGATTACAACGGACACTGGATCGAAATACTGGTGGATAATCCTAGGACACATACGGCGATGAAATACAATGTCATGGACTTTGGCATGAAGCCGGGAACTCGATGCACGGTCAAGAAAATCGATTTTTTGGATGAAAACAACAAGAAGAAGGTCGTGAATTGTTACTTTACAAGTGGTCCAGACAAAGATATGTCCCGCGAATTATTGAACATCGCTTTGGATTTGGGTTGCAAAGTGCCGGCTGGGTGCAAGTTGGCTGAATTACAAGAAATCGTGAAGCAACATCAAGCGTTCAAACAAATCACAAAATTGGAAAAACTTGGGATCAAGTATGGCGTCAAAATTATCTTTGGTCCAAAATATCACTGCGAATTGAACGCAATTGAAGGAATGTGGTGTTATATGACGGGATACACCCGCAAGAATAGCGACCAAACATTCAACAGGATGTTACTATTGATTCAAGGAGGAAAAATCAATTTTGATCAAAAACAAGTCTACCTGAAACTCTATAGAAGATTTTGGAAAACGCTCACCGGATATCAGCAAGGACAAAATTACAAGCAAATCCTTTAAATGTTTTTTTCGGGATTATGCAGAGACAAAATTATTTCGCATCGAAAAATCACCAACACAAAATTGCAATAGGCACAGTAGTCTATTTTCTTAGTATTCTTAAATTCTAGGACTTAAAATAAATTGCAAAGCACACCTTCTTTTTAGGTTTTAGGCTCTGGACGGAAAACGTTACGTAAGATATTCAGCCAGATCTGCTAGACTTTGTGGAAACTCAGAAATATCGGCAGTGGACTGGCAATCGTTTTTTACCTCTATACTTCGAGTTTCAAAAAATTTTAAGCTAAAACAAAAAAGTTATTAAAAACTCGCTACGCCGATTGGGTCAAAAACTGGATTTTTTCGATAAAAACCTCCTAACTCAGCAAGGGAAAAAATACTTGAAAAAAAGATCCGTGCGTTTGTAGCAAATTTCATGGGGAATCGAATGGCGAAAGAATTAAGTTTGTATCTACTGTGAAAAAAATCTGATGGCACTTTTCCTGGGTCGAGGTAATTATAGGTCGCATTATTATATCGATCCGCGTGGATTTGTGGATCACTTTTATTCATTGGAAAATTTTAAAACTCATGTAGATCGATGCAGCTTTTCACGATGAGTCAGAATAACTAGCTTTGAAGGTTCCAAATAGTTAATTGTAACAAAATATAAAGTGATTTTTACAAAATTAGCCGTTGTTGGCAAAAAAACACGTTTTTTCGTTTTTTTCGCTTTTCTCAACGAAGACGCAAGTTAATCAAATTTTAAAGGTGATATTCTGAATCAGCGTAAACTTCTGCGCCTAGGGATATGCAACAAGGGTGGATTGTGAATTTCACTGTAACTTCGAATTTGGAGCCCCTTAAAAACACATTAAATAAAATCAACAATATTTCCATTCCACCCCTTTTTGACGGCTCTTCAAAAGAACTAATGATAGATCCAGGAAAAAGGCTGAGCTTTTAAACAAACATTTCGCGATGCTTTGCTCAATGCCACTTAATGAGGTTAATGATATGCCGTTAGTTCTTCCAACATCCAGCAAATTCTCAATGATGAAATTTCATATTTTTGCGAGTGAAGTTTTTGAATTACTGTGTAGAATTGATTGTAGTAGAGCTAGTGCGCCTGGTCTGTCAGCGAGAATAATTAGAGAAGCTTCACCTGTCTTAACTCCGATCATAAGCTATTTATTTAATCAAGCTCTAGAACAGGAACAGTTTCCTAAAACTTGGAAACTTGGCTATAATTAATATAAAATTTCCGCTGTAAATAGCTCTTTTCAAATGAAAAAGATAAAAGAATGAATTCAATTCCTTTCTTATCATCTTTTTTCAAAGTTAAACTGAAAAGTCCAGTGACAAATGAGAAAAAACTCAATGATATTTCGTC